GTCCCAAACAGAGCTTCGTAATGGTTCTGCTCACTTAAAAGCTGTTTTTACCTTTAGTAGACCTACTTGAGATTGCTTTCTCATCCCAGAAGTTTTTGTTACAGACACAGCCTACTGTTCCCAAGGAGAAAGATGGGCTGCTGGGTGGAGCTCCTCATCCAGGCAATTTGTACTAGTGTTTAGATCTTCAGCCATGGTGTCTGATTTTTGTCTTCGTTGGGAACTCCTCAGTTTGAACTGAGTTAGCTTTGAACCAGGATTAATACATTTGTCGCAGGTATCTGTTTAAAGGGTCCTTGTTGGCTTGAATGAGAATGGCCCTCATAGGCTCCTATAGTCAAGTGCTCAGTCACCAGGGAGTGGTATCATTTGAAAGGATTAAGAGTACGGCCTTGCTGGAGAGGGTGTGGTCTTGTTGGAGGGCATCACTGAGGTGGGCTTTGAAGTTTCAAGAGTCCAAGCGCCAGGCCTAGTGCCTCTCTCTGTTCCTGCTGCTTTAGAATCTGGCTCTAGAATTCTAACCTACCATGTCTGCATGTATGTTATCATGCTCTTCACCATGATGATGATGGAGTAAACTTCTGAAATAGTAAGCAAGCCCCAATCAAATGCCTTCTTTTTATAACAGTGGCTATGGCCATGGAGTCTCTTAACAGTAAAAGAACACTAACACAGTATCTACTATTAAAAAGATGGGTCTTCGACTATGAAATATGTGTGTATATATAAATTTTGTCATTGTTCCTTTCAACATATAAGTATGTCTTGTTCACCATATATAGAAACATAGCAGAGTGGCTCCTTCTAGGAAGAACAGACCTTCTTCCTTAGTAAATCTTAAGTAATTTAATCTTACTTAAAAATCCTTAAGAAAGTAGACCGCATAGAAGAACTATGACACAAATATCAAATCACAAGCCTACTCTGGAAGCTAATGAATGTGGAAAAGGATCCTGAAGCACCCAGAACTTGTAAAAACTTCATGTGTTGGCTTACCCAAACACCCCCATATTTTCCTTAAGGAAGACACAAAACTAGAATCAAGGCCCTTGGGAAGCTTTTGTATTTTCAGTGATATCAATCAACTTTCAGAGATATTGAGGATGATTGGGAGCAGTCTGCCTATGTGCTATCTATCACTGCATAGGAAAAGGTTGTTCACTGCTGAAGTCCTTGCTGATTATTTCCCCTGCGGGAATTTAAAACAACAGCAGTGAAAACATCAGACATTGGCCTTACACTTAAGAAAGAAATACTCGAAGGAAGTGTTTGTTCAGTTCCTACATTCTGTGAGTAGGACCTGTCCCTTGAATGTTTTTCAGTTAAGATTTTCAGCGGAGGTTAGGTACTGTGCTGGACAGCAAATTCCGAGTTTTCTGACATGCTCCTTGTGGTTGCCAGGAGAGGGAGAGTCTCTGTAGTGTCTCCTATGGATAAGACCAAAACCTAAACCTCTCAGATTGTACCCGGAATTTCCCTGTATGAGAAGCACAGCCCCCTGGTGTAGGAAAGCCTCCTTGAGGGTGATTCAGGCCCCACCAGGAATGGCTCACTCACTACCTGGTTTTTCCCTGACATTCAATAAGAGCTTTTTCTACCCGGTGAACTTCTACTGTTCTCTGAAGCTCTGGATTCACCACTGTCTTGAAAGAAGATGCCTCTAAACCATCTGGAACTTTGGAACAACAGCAACAAAAGGCCAGGAATGGTGCCCAGCGGCCACAGGCGGAGTTTCTCATTTCACAAATACTCACTGCGGTGCAAACAGCTGCTTTTTATATGCTTTAAGTCCGGAAAGGAATGAGTGAAATTCAGAAACTAGCTTCATGAACGGTGGCACTTCACCGAGCTCTGCCGAAATCCCCTCTGCGCTGCAGCCTGGCATTCACACAGCTTCAAACCGGAAGGTGAAATCAAAATCAGCCCGCAAGTCTGCTCAGGGCTTGGGGCTCTGCAAATCAGAGAAGTCCATGCGAACGCCACAAGTGTCTGCTTCTCTCCCCAGCACCAAAGAGTTGCTTTCTCAGTCTCCTGCTTCTGAAACAGAATTAAGAAGGCTGCCCGTGGTGGTTAATATTCTTCTCCTGTCTCTAGAACAGTTTCCTCAATCTTCCCTAGCTTGCCTAAGAGGCTACAATAGCAGGAAAATCGTTTCCTCGCGTCCCAGCCTTCCTTCCCCTCAACCACAGGCTTGCTCCATCCTGGTCAACGCCCCCACCTAGTGGTTTAAACTAGCCAACTTCTCTTCCCTTCCAGTGGCTTTCAACTGAGTGGCGTGTTAGTAAGATAATGAAGGTGCCTGGTGTAGGTGAATGGATTAGAGGATGGGGCCAGCTTAAAACGTGGTGGAGAAAAAAAAATACAAAACAAACAAACAAAACAAAAAACCCTTTAATATACTGAAGTCTCTGGTCTTGGGGAAAGGAACAGAGGAAAAAAAAAGGAACAGAGAAAAAAGTTGTTATTGTTTTTTGTTTGTTTGTTTATCTTCGAAGCATCTACTGCAGCCCACCTTAAACCCCTTAGCTAAAGGAGCGCCTTCTCAGAGCTTGGAAGAATTGCATTTATTTTTCATAACAAGTGAAAGTGTAGTAATTTAGTTGACCTTCATCCACTGTCTTTGCCTCTCCTAGAATGTAAGAGCTGTAAAACTGGGTCTGAATTTGCCCTGTTCGTCTCCATATTCCTTGTGCGGAGGAAAATACCCAGCCTCAGTTATGCATTCTAATTTTGTCTGCCTGCCTGGCTTAGAGGGCCAAGAACGCAGGAAACTTGGTTTGTGGCCATGTCACCCTCAGTAAAGTCTCTTAAATAGGTCTGAATTTGCTCCACCCTCAAACCGGATGGAAGATGGAGCAGATGATCCCTGGATCCTAGGCTGAGCTCTGAGATGGAATGATTTGAGTAAAAAAAAAAAAAAAAAAAAAAAAAAAAAAAAACAAAAAAAAACCCCACACACATCTGCAAAGAACCTGATGAATCCAGCTATCCCGTGGCTCTCATTAGATCCATCCGACATACCAAACAAACTTAGGCTAGTGGGGCCACATAGTCCTTATGGAGAAAACATTGCCCTTTACTTTAAACTTCGGATTTGTGTGTGGACCTTGTATTTCTTACTGTTCAGATCAGAGGAAGAACCAAGGATAAAGAATCTGCTTGGGGTTTGGAGACCCAGCTGCTAGGCTCAGTGGCCCCCTAGGGCAGAATCGCCGCGATCCTTTTGTCGAGGGCAAAGGAGACAGTCTGGTGACTGTAGTTCTGACGGCCCAGAGGCGCCTTTATTTTCCCTCTCTTGGGTGGGCAATGTGAAAGTGCTTCCATGCACACTCGGACGCCGAGCTGAGGAGGAGCCACCGGAGCGGGAGGTTGGAGCGGAAGGTTAAATATCGCATACAGCAGGCTTCTCTTTTGGGATAGCTGCTTTACATCTTTGTAGACAGCTCCTCCCCGTTGACTCACAAAGTTACATGGGAGGACTGAATGACAAGCACAAATTTCTAAACGTGGATGGGAAAATTGTGTTGTTAACGTACCAAGAGTTAAAGATGTCTCAAAGCCCCAAGCCTGAAGCATAAAATGCACACATTGGAAGCTTCCTTCTAAGGAAGCATCGCTGGCGCCTCCTTCTAACCTGGGTGTGGCCCTCGGTGTGGGGTTAGATTCCAGAAAGAAGAGTTCAGATATTGGGGCTTGCTCCACCTACCCACCAACCTCCGGGAAAGAGGGTAGGCGGAAGCCTAGACCTGGACGCCCGCACTAAGTCTGTGGCAGCGACTAAGGGCGTGGGTTGACTGCGGAGCTCAAAGACTCAAAGTCCTCAGAGGCAAGAACAGGACGTCCCGTTCCCCACTCCCCGCTTGAAAGGCGACTCTGAGGGGTCAGGGTCTGGAGGAGGGACAAGGTGAAGAAAGCTGCGAGAGAGGGCGGTAGGACCCTGCGGGAGAGTCTGTGGCAGGGAAGGGAACTGGGCGGGAGGGAGAGAGGGAGGGAGAGAGCAAAAGGGAAGGTGCTTTGCAGCTGGCGTCTGCACCAGCCGCACTGCACTAGTTGAATGGCTGGCCCAGGCTGGACCCAGCTAGTATAAAAGGAACCCCGCCGGCTCTGAGACTCCCATCCAGCACCCGGGCTGGCGCTCACCGGGTCCCAGCCGCTCCTCCAGACACCTGCCCCCTTCTGGTGTGCGGCTCCAGGTGCCCCGGCCCCGTGCGCCCCTCGGCATGGCTCCCAGCGGCGCTGCTGGAACCCTGGAGGTGGTGACAACTGCAGGGCGGCTCCAGCTGCGGCAGCCGGGGCCCCAGAGTCTCCCCTCTGGTGGCCTCGTCTCCGCGGGGCAGCTCGCCGCTGTGGTCAGAGCGTAAAAAAAAAGGGAGGGAGCGTGGAGCTCCGGCGCCAGGCGCGGCGCGGATCTCACACTTGACAAACCCCAAGTCAGGAGGCAGCTGCAGAAAGTGGCCCGGCTCCGGGCGGGGGCGCGGGGCGGGGATGCAAGCCCCGGACTCTGCACTGGCCTGCAAGCTTCGGTGTGCGCAGCCAGCGAACTCCTGCGGGCGGAGTCTGCAGATTCCCGAGCGCCCGGGTTAGGAGACGCTAAGACCTAGGCAATTGGGGTAGGAGGTCTCCCTCGACCCGAGACCCCTTCTCAAGCCAATCTTCGCCCTTCTCCACTGTTTGCCTCCAGGGAGCCTGAGCGGAGCCGGACTGGGTGGGCCGGTGCTTTAATCACCTGGGGGAAGACGGGGCGTGGAGAGGAGCTAGCAGACTCGGCGACAACGCCGGGCGCACTGGAAGTGCAGGGGACGCGCCCGCGAGCTCGGTGGCTGCGCCTGTGACCTCTCACTCGGGCCGAGAACACAGGCGGAGGAGTTACTGAGGAGTCCACGGAACTGGCTGGCCAAAAGAGACAAGCCTGTGGCCTCCATGATCCTCCCGTCCTCTGTTTTCTCTCTCGTCCGCTCCATGCTCAAGAGCCGCGCTCCGCAGCCAGGGCGAGCAGAGCCATGGAGCAGCAGGGTGTCCAGTGCGCCCCGCCGCCTCCCGCCGCCTCCCAGACAGGAGCACCTCTCTCCAACCTCTCCCACAACTGCAGCGCCGACGGCTACATTTACCAGGACTCCATCGCCCTGCCCTGGAAAGTCCTGCTGGTTGCATTGCTGGCGCTCATCACCTTGGCCACCACGTTCTCCAACGCCTTTGTGATCGCTACGGTGTATCGGACCCGGAAGCTGCACACCCCGGCTAACTACTTAATCGCCTCTCTGGCGGTCACTGACCTTCTCGTGTCCATCCTAGTGATGCCTATCAGCACCATGTACACGGTCACCGGACGCTGGACCCTAGGCCAGGTAGTCTGCGACTTCTGGCTGTCGTCGGATATAACCTGTTGCACTGCTTCCATCATGCATCTCTGCGTTATCGCCCTGGACCGCTACTGGGCCATCACTGATGCAGTGGAGTATTCCGCTAAAAGGACCCCCAGAAGGGCTGCCATCATGATCGCGCTGGTGTGGGTCTTCTCCATCTCTATTTCGCTTCCGCCCTTCTTCTGGCGTCAGGCCAAAGCGGAGGAGGAGGTGCTGGACTGCCTCGTGAACACCGACCACGTCCTCTACACGGTCTACTCCACGGTGGGCGCCTTCTACTTACCCACCTTGCTCCTCATCGCCCTCTATGGCCGCATCTACGTGGAAGCCCGCTCTCGGATTTTGAAACAGACGCCCAACAAGGCCGGCAAGCGCTTGACCCGAGCCCAGCTAATAACAGACTCCCCAGGGTCCACGTCCTCGGTCACCTCCATTAACTCCCGGGCTCCCGACGCGGCCAGCGAGTCCGGGTCTCCCGTGTACGTGAACCAAGTCAAAGTGCGAGTCTCAGACGCCCTGCTGGAGAAGAAGAAACTCATGGCCGCTAGGGAGCGCAAAGCCACCAAGACCCTCGGGATCATTTTAGGGGCGTTTATTGTGTGCTGGCTGCCCTTCTTCATCATCTCCCTGGTTATGCCCATCTGCAAGGATGCCTGCTGGTTTCACATGGCCATCTTTGACTTCTTCAATTGGCTAGGCTATCTTAACTCTCTCATCAACCCCATCATCTACACGATGTCCAATGAGGACTTCAAACAAGCATTCCATAAACTGATACGCTTTAAGTGCACAGGGTGACTTGTCAGTGGCAGTGGGGTCGCCTAAGCGACCTTTGGGGACCAAGTTGGGTCTTTCCACAGGTAGGTCAAATCTTCTTTCCCTGTTACTGGGTGGAAGCAAGGCTCTCTCTCCCGGGCAAGGGCGATGGATCCTCAGAAGCCGGGCAGCTCCGAGAGAGCACTCTGAAAGGTGAACTGCTCAAACTACTGTAAAGCTTCCATAACGAGGAGGTAAGCCTCCTCCCCTCAAAGTCTGGGCTCAGCACAGATCCTCCGGCAGCCAATCACAGGAAAGGTTGCGACTTTTTAAGGTTGATGATGGACGGGGGAATCCCTCCCCTTTGGTATCATGGACATGGTTGCCCTCTAAGCCAGTGGCACTTGTAGGTGTCTGTCTGAAGCCCGTCTGAGACAGATCTACATACAGCCTGGCAGTACTTGAACTAGACCATTAATACCCTGTGCTTTGGGGAGAACTTTGTGTTACAGCTTAATTTTAGAACACTTACTTTGGCATCCTTCCGTCTTCATTTGTTTATTTAAATTTGGTTGGAGAAACTTGTGGATTTGGTGCTTCAAATGCTAAATGTGGCTTGGATGGCACAAAGCAACCTTGAAGAGTTAACACGGCAAACTTCTGATGCTAAGATCTCTATTTTTATTACAATCGAAAAATATATGGGGCGGTGGGTGGGAATGGGAGAAGGGGAGTGTTACTCTAAGAATCAACACCTAAGATTGTTTGTTTTCTTCAGATTTCTAATTTTTTTTTTAAATATCCTGTTTAGTGAGCGTCAAACCACAACTCTTTAACAACTCAAACAAAACATGATGTGTGCTTGTGCCAAAGTCTACAGGCTGCTTTGTTTCCTAATCTCATGTACCGGTCATTTTACACACTTAAAACCCCACCAATGGAGGATATGCTGGGTGACTAAACCCAGCCTGCTGCTGCCAGAGGTGTTTGACAAGTGGATTACAGTTATATACAGTTCCTTAACAGGAAAGTATCTTTATTCCTTATCCAATTCTGTGATAGGCGGAGGAGATTGATGAAACAGAAGTGATTTCTTATGTAACTAAGGAATGAAGGGGGGAATAGGAGGATGTATATTTTTTGACTTGTAAAAAAAATCTTAAATTGCATGAGACAATTTTTGATAATCATTTGCACTCTCTCCCATTTGTGATTCCTTTGTGTGCAAATTTTATAAAGTAACCAAGAGAACTGGTTTCCCTGTCCAGAAATCTTCAAAATGCAGCCAGAGTCCCCAGGAAGTATATTAAAGTGTGTGTGTAAGAGAAAGAGAGACACAGAGACAGAGAGAGAGAGAAAAAGATAGATAGATAGAGAGAGAGAGAGAGAGAGAGAGAGAGAGAGAGAGAGGCTGAGACTCCACTTTGTTTTATCCTTGCTATTGAAGTTTGGGTAGGAACAACTAGGAAAATTACACATTAGAAATTTAGAAAAGCTGAAAGAGCCTGAAATTGAACCTATTTTTCTTGTAACTTATAGAACCAAACCTCAGGCTCACCAAACAACCTGGAAACTAGCAAACCTTCTAGCCTTGGAAAAGAGTTACTGACCTGCCTCTTCAGTGACTAACATCTAAAATAATTTAAGGGTTTCTCTCCTTCTAAGTTTCAATAACACTTAGTTCTTTTGAATTCACTCTGAGGGGTACACAATAGAGTAAAATCACATACTAGAAGATTTTTTTTAAAAAAAATGCACTTTTCAATAAAAAAAAGCAGTCCCGAAGGGTCATCTGTAAGAACAAATGTGTGCGTGTGTGGAATGTTTAATATGCCAAAGAAGATTCACAGTCCTTGCTTCAGAGGCTGTCTGTACTGGAGACCTTTTGTCTGCAGAAGGAAGTTGTCTTTATAAAACGGATCCATTCCCTGTGTGAAGCTGCACAATCCAGATCATCAGACAATAGCTGTTGCTTGCTCACTGTGCAGACCTTCACATGGGGTAATGACTCTTGAAAAGATGCTATTCAAAAGTTCACATGTACTGTAGGTTTAAAAAAAAAAAGGGAATTTCAACCAACGTTATACCTGATACTGGAGTAAGATGAAATCTTAGGCATTGGATAATCCTATTGACTGGGATCTGCAGTTTCTTCTGCTGGATCCCTCCTTTCTTTGTTTGTGCTTTGTGATATTTCTCCTATGGAGGGATGCGCAGGGAGCATGGTATTTGTTTTTTATATTATTAATATGTTGGTTGTCTGTTTGTGTAGCTGTGTTTTCTTGGGGCCTAAGAGGCAACTGAGTCAACTTCTAAGAGCCTTAGGGGAAAATTAATGGAAACCAATAGCCACTTACAAGTGATTTCTTTATAGGGCACCTACAATGGTCGTGTCATCATGTAAACAAAACATGGTCAATTTAGTCAAATGGGTTGTTTGCCATTTTGTAGATCACCCACCTTAATTATTGCTTGAGTATTTGGCTGAACTGACTGAATTTGGGGCATCGTGTATCAAATAGAAGCTTGCAAACCTTTGTAGTGATAAGAGATCTAGGATCATCATCTAACATTGCTCACAATTATGCAAGGTGTATATTCATCCCAGGGGGATGCAGTTAGGACTGTTAAGCTCCTTTTCAGTTACTACTGCATATAAGCATAGTTTGTTTCATAAGCTAGGCACATGGCTTCTTTGCAGAACATAAAATGGGAGATGGAAATGTTTAACTTACATAGAAATGAAAATATGTTTTCATTGACTATGGTAATGAATACCATTTTCCATATTGTTTAATTGCACAAATTTTCACACAAGTATATGAATGTATACTCATCTAAAATTACCAATATTGTCTTGTGTTTGTAGGAACTTTAGAGTTTCCTTTGTAAAAAAAAAATGGACACTGCACCCATGGAATGAATGTTTAAAGAGTTCAACAAATTTCATATAGAACAATATTGTTCACTTTTCCTCTCTATTATCTAAGTTTCATCTTCTTTAAGCAGGAAGCATTGAGAAGACTATAACTCACCCAAGCAGTAACGTCTCAGACTGTGTGTATTCGATGGAGTTCTGTGTCTGAAATTGCCTTTGGTATCCCACCTCTCAGCAAATGTGTAATTGGAAATAAAATTTAGGAAAATGCTGAAATAAAAGTCCTTTTTTTGTGTTCTGAGAAGTGTTTAGTCGTAGTTTTATTATTATGCAAAGACCGGGTCACTTGGTTCTGGGGCTGTGCTTTGAAGTTGGAGCCTCTGTGATGACAGTTGTTGGTGTGATAGATGGATGTGTGCTGCCGTGGTTTGGGGAGTTCAGTTGATGTGTGTAGGAAGAGTTTGAAATGAATTTTCTACTCTGTAAAGAGGGAAAGTAACACCCACTATCAAAAATGTTCTCTAGATCAGCATTTTTAAAGGAGACGTTCCTGGTTGTTCTGGAATCTGAAGACTGAGGTCCTGTGCAGTGATTAAAATACAAAAGGAGAGAAAGAACAAGGAGAGTGAAAATAGACTCGATATTACCTGAAGGGTAGGTTGAGTCATCTAAAGACCCATGAAATAACCAGAAAGATAACTTCTAGATCCAGAATGTCCTAGGTTTCAATGATAAATGTAGATGGTAGAGTATGTGGTTCTCTTTCCATTATACCAGCTAGCCTTAAATTGTAGCAAAGATTTAAAGACTATATGCATTAAATAAGAGGATTGACTTCAGAAGTGGAGAGGGATTCAGAAATTGTACCTTCTGTTAGGCTTATTTCCAGGTGCTTTCTTTACAGGGACACACTTTACTTGCAGCGTAGAAAATCAGTTATCCAAGAGAGTATAGTGAGGAAGTTTCAGTTAGCTGGAATGGTTTGATCCTGGCTAAACAGAAGTGATTGAGATTAGCAGTTTTCCACAACTACCTCTCTTGGCTGGTCCAAAAGGCAAAAGGGAACACAAGAGATGGTTTGCAGTAGCTATAAATGGTCAATGAGAAATATTTAGTTTTCCATGACTTATTTTTTTAAATCTACATTTAAGCCTACATTCTCCTCTTCTGGAGATGTATGGCCACCTTCTCCAATCTACATTCTCTGGCCATATTCACACCCTTTTTTCATCACCTCATTTTCCTCTTTAGTCATAACCAACGATGATATGTATAATTTTATTTTAGCTCTGAAGGACTTATTTGGAAGCCAAGAAGTTTTACATTATATAAAAGGAAATTGTTGCTTCAAATGCATATATATGGAGGAGGCAAAAGCTTTAACTGGAGCACTTCCTTGGGTTTTCAGAAGGGAAGGGTGTGGGAAGGGAATGAAGGTTCTTTGCTTCAAAACCCACCCTGGGAAGTCCACCAGGGGGCAGAATGCCTCCGAATAGTCAGCCGATGCTGCTGCTTCTAGTTGAGGAAGTCTTAGTTCTTTCTAGGTGGTTTGCAAGTGACATTAACGCCTCAAGGATCCCCCAAAACAGCGGTCCATGAATCTATACACAGAGACGGTTCATCACTGATACACAATCAGCAGATTTTTCAGAATTTCAAATTCAGGCAGGCAGTTTACCCAAAGAACACTCAAGGTGTGCATACTAAGTTGTTTTCTTAGTTTACTATTTACAATATTGTGGCTTTATATTAATATGACACTGAATGAACTCAGAAGTTGGGAGGCAACACAGTTATTTAAAAATAAATCAAACCATTCACTTGAACATTTATCACTATTGGGATTTTTAAAATCACTTTTATTTTTTTAATCTTAACTTCTTTGGTTTGATGTTGATATACCCATAATTCTAAAGTAGAAAGAACACTTGCCACTTAAAGATGAGTTTGCTCTTATTCTACAGAATCAAGGTATGCACACACAACAGCCTTTTTCAGAAGGCTGACTTTTAAATCTGTACAATTCTGGTATTTTTTGAGATGGGTTTTTTGATTTTTTTTTTTTCCTATCTGTCCTGGAACTTGCTCTGTAGACCAGGTTGGCCTCAAACTCACATAGATCTACTTACCTCTGTGTCCCAAGTGGGGGACTAACGGCATATGCACCACACCTAGTTCAGAAAGATCTTTTTCCCAGAAGCAAACAGAGAGGTGAGCACCACTGTCACTGCCCATTCCGCAGTAGGCCATTATCGATCATCTGTGGGTTAAATTGGGCTTTCAAATGCAGCATCCACATTTTAGGATTATACTAGCAATTGGGTCCACGGTCTAAGAGAGCGACTTAATGATATTCTGAGTATAGCCTGCAAAGGGAAAAAATGCCCATTTCCTTCACTTGTTTGCACACATCACAAAAGGTACATGTTTTTAAAGCTGTTAACTGGCAGTCTAAGAATGGCCTTGTCATGTTTTCTGTACCCAAAATGAGCAGATGGCGACGGAGAAATTGGTTGATGGCAAATCCTTTAAAACATTACACACGCTTTACTTGAATGGGCGTCAGCAAGCATGACTCACTTCCTCCCTAACTCCGTGGGAACACAGCACACCTGGGCCTCTCGTTGGTCCCCCTGTTTGGGGATAATAAGATTTCAGACTATCTCTTGCTAAAAAGTATGGTGGCCTGGCTGGTGACGTACCAACGATGACAGAAGAGGGGAGGAGACCCTGTCACCTAGTCAAGGAGCCATGGCCAGGGTGTTTCAAGTGTGTGCTGCTTCTTCATCACAGTGTGGCAGCTCCCTCTGTGGTTCAAGTGTTCGCCTGCAGAACACCTACAACCAGGTGTTCAGGACAGGGCTATCTGTCCTCGGAGTGAACGTTATCTCAGGGCTTTATCTTTCCACCCAAGCTGTGCGGTTCTGTCAGGTCCTCCAGTCCCTCCATTTTGTCCTGGTCCTCTGGGCTTTCTTACAAACTGCTGAATGCTGAAATAGTCACATAGGAGGAAGTTGAGAACCCTTCGATGACATGAAAGCTCTCAACAACAACAAAAGTCTAAGAAAAAACTCGACCAAACAAATGTTTGGTAAGCATGTGGAAATCCCTTTGTAATGTATGTTCATCTCAGTGTGTTCACGTAAGAATGGTGATAATACATTTTCACATCTCATTTATTAGGTGAACTTCATTTACAGGGTCTTTTTTTTTCCAGACTCAATTTCTTATTATTGAGTTTTAGAACTGAAATCAAGCCTAGCACATTATTTTGAAACGTCTGCAGATAACTGATGTCTGTGGCCTAAGTTAAGACCCACTACATGATGGGCACGCAGTGCTCTTAATACAAGGCTTAGCCCACACAGGCTATGTAGGTGTGAAGATCCTTGAAAGAAATGGGACGTTAGGACGTTTGAGTTTTCACAATGATGTTTCTCAAAAATACATGGGCATCTGACCCACCTGAGGAGTTGGGCACAGCAGACTCCAATTCAGTGGGTGTGGAGATGACTGGCTCTTGGTGTGCCAGAGCCTGATAAGGCTGGCCCTGAGATCACACTGTCTCTTAGAGGTCTGCAGGGAAATCTAGCTTGTTGTAGTTACCAAGGAGGGTGCAGGATCGGCCAGCCATTCCCTACACACCTAAACTAAAACCACACAAAATTTGTAGATGAGAGAACTGTACCTCTCCTGTGTTTCCTCAGTTTTTTTACATGATATTCACATCTCAATTTCAGCAAGTGTTAAATATTTCCACTGATAGAAGTGTTTGCTACTGAAGCTATACATCTTCAATCTACCCAAAAACAGTTCACTCCTGCACATGAATCAGCAAAGTATGGCTGACCTCAATACTACAATCCTTTGTCTTCACGCTATTTTTAACTAAGAGATTTGCCTCCAAAAAAAAAAAAAAGATGAAAAAGAAGTAAATTAATGAATGCACAAATGTTAAAATACAAGTTTAAGAAAGAAATAATAATTCTTAATACTTAGTAAATGGCTTAGCTTCCTTCATAATCTTTTCCTCTCAGAATATTTGGATTGTGTTTTTTTTTAATGCAGAGTCATGAGAACATTTAAAAAATTGTATAGATATTTATATTTCTTCAATACAAACTATTTTTATCTCTTACTATGTTTTAGAGACTTTTAAGCACTTATGTTAATAATGAAGCATTTTGTTCATCTCCTACAAGAGTATTACAGCTAGCAGTATTTTATTAATGTAGGCTACCTATATAAACTAATGGCTTTCATTACAACATTTTCATACGCATTTATCACGCATTTTCCTAACCTTTCCATGCTGTTACCCTTTCTTTTTCTCATCCCCCTCATGCTGGTTGTTTTCTTCTCCAATAATCTATCTTCTAGATTAATATTTAACAGGCACCCTCACATATACATACACAGTCACCCACACACTGACACACACATATACGCTCACATATCTATACACACTCACACATATGCACACGTGTGCATACGCTCATACAAATATGGATTCTGCAATTTTTATTTTATTAAGGAATGTCCCTCCCCCTTTTTTTTCCCCAAATAAGAATCAAAGATTCTATGTTCTCGAAAAGATCGAGTTATTTTTGTTTGTTTATGAGTGTTTGAAGCTAAGAAAATAGTGTCTGTGCATTTTCATTCCACATTTGCAGAATGCAGTTCAAAGCCTCCCATCTGATATCTTTGTGTACAATTATGACCTTCACGCTGGATTCCAGCAAAGCGGTATCGCTGGGAATTTTGTTTTCAAATTTTGGGAAAGAACTAGGACCACTGCGCACTGACTTAAATACCCACCCTTCCTTGGTCCTGACAGTCTTACTGTGAGACAGGATTGCTTCTGTTACTATATTATTACCATGGTCATGAGTTAGGTATTCAAACAATTCAGCCCAGTAATTCAGCTTAGAGAGTTATAATTACAGCCCCAGTCAGATAATTTGCATCCAGGGATGTAAGGTGTATGATTTTGACTGTCTATGTGAGAAAAATGTTTTCTGAGTCATTAGAATAGAACAGGACTGATAGCACTTACGGATAAATTTTACTGCAGCATTATATGTGGAGAACACAGATTTCCTCTTGGTTTGATCCCCGTGTGTGATAACCACCTCCACCAGCCAGTGAACATTTGGTGCCCGCTGACCCTTTCAGAACCCTTCTGCATGAAAATGTGATTGTAGCTGCCAGCTATGGCAATATTAAGCACGGGTGTTTGTGCACTTTAAGCGCGGTCCCAGTTAGGTGTGTCCATCTATGGAAAGTTACTGACAGA